TCAAGCCTTTTGCTATCAAACCCTAAACTTACAAATTTTATGGATTTCACCAGCAGGGCTTTTGCTAGTCAACAACTTACACATGGTTCCACCATACGAGGAGAATAGCAATAAAGAACTTTCTCGAGTTTTCCAATTGTTGGTTGGCAGCACGCAGCATTCAAAGAACGTACCCTAATTTACCTTAAGAAACCACCAGTACATGCAATCTTTCTCTGGCATCGGAAAAATTAGTCCGTTACACTCGGGCACGAGCTCCAAAAATTTTCAAGCGCCTCCATGATGATCATTCCGGGATATGCCTCGATCGTGTTCCAACGTCGCTCAAAGCTCCTCGAGTCCACCAGCTTGCTCTGGCCACGATTCGTATACGTCGCGAATAGCCTCTCGGGTTTAAGTTTCTGCTTAGACGCTTCATGCTTGAGCCTCTGCTTCTGCAGAAAGTTGTCAAGTGCAACCCGGTCACGCTCCATAGCTTCTTTCACATTTCCCAGAACGAAGCGCCTCTCCTTCTCTCTTTACTTTTCGGTAGAGCTATCCTGTTCTTTATATTCTCCTGGCATTGAGAGCATACGCAGATATCCAGCAAGCTTCGAAGACGTCCTTCCGCGGCCTATAAAGAAGAAAGAAGAAATAAAACGACGGTCTAAACTCAAGAAAGAAGGAGCCTTCGACCAACCTTAGCAGAAGCTTCCATGTTCAAAGCATTCTCCTCCAAGTCGATGAGCACCTCAATCTCATTGAGAAGCTTTAACTTCTCACGAGAGAACCCCGCCAAGTCCCACAGCTCCAGCTGCCTCTTCTTGTTCATCAAATCCCCACCATGATCCTTCTTCGACCCGAGCGTGCTCTGGACCCTGGACCAAGCTGCCCTGTTCGACCAAGGATTCGATAGGAAGCCCTTCCCATTCACCGACATTGTCCGAAGAGCATTGGCCTGGAGCGCGCGGAGAAAGTTTGGATCGTGCGGTGGTGGTGAGTGATTGAGCTGCCGGAGGGAGAGGAGTGAGGAAGGGTGAGGAAGTAAAGGAGGAGGAGGAGGAGTGGCGACATTGATGTCGCTGGAGATCTTCTTGCGCTTGGCGGTGCCGGCGCCAGGCCTCCACTCCATAGCCACGCGCGAGAAGGGCCACTGAAAACCCTCTACCCTGAAATGCCTCTTCTTGACGCCATTGAGAGCTTCCATGGCTGGATCATGCTCGCGCTACCCCGAGAGCATTGCGCCGCCGGAGCTGCCGCCACTCTGTTCGCGTGACAATGTTATAGCAGTTAGTCGTTAAACCTGGAAATGGTCTGCTGCCACGGCCACCATGGCCTCGCCACGTGGTCGGCGACGATCGTGTATGCGGGGCAGTCACCAGAGCTTACGCCGTCAAATTAAAAACAAAGAACGCCATGGTAATGCTCGGCTGGCATGGTAATTCATTTGAACTGTGGCATCATCGCTCGCCTCGCCACGTGGTCGGCTAGGATCTTGTATGCGAGGGCGGGAATAAATTTAAAAACATGAATATTCGTTTCTTCTTCATTGCTTCGTTGCGAGGGTTTTTTGTGTGGAGGAAGTGCGATGGCGGGCAAAAGCTCGACGAGGGCAGCCGACAACGAGAAGAAGGGGAAGAGGAGAATGCCGAGGAAGGAACGTCGCGGGATCAGTGAATCCCAACGGCAGCGCCAGGACAAGGAAAGGGCCAAGGCTCAAGCTGCGCAAGGTGAAATTTCGTGCAATCTCTCCCGAAATATCTCTCCCTCACTCTCAATCTCTCCCTCACACTCGAAATCTTGGCAAAGATTCTCTCTTTCTCTCTCGATCTCTGAAATCTTGCTGTTTCAGAGAAGAAGACGCGCGGGAACGATGCAGAGAGAGGAGCAGGAGCAGGATGCGGGCGAGCTCGTGGTGCTGTGAGATCGTCGAAAGAAAGGGCGCGAGGCCATGTATCGAGCGGCAATCTGTTGTCATTTTGTGAATTTGATCCAAGGCGGCTGACTTTCATCCTCCATTCTCCCACTGCCTGGTCCGGGCGCTTAGCCGCGAGAGTTCTCTCTCGATCGAGCGATTTCCAAGCCAACGCCGTCGCGGATGGAGCTTGCGCTCGGATTTCTGCCGCACCAGTGGCTGGATTTCGATTCTGGGAGGGAAGAATGTAGCATCGACAGAAATTTTTAAAAATATTTAGGGTACAATTGTCCATGGCGGCCGCGTCTTGGATCGCACAGCGCGCTCCCGCTCGGAATGGCGCCAGGGCGAGCTTGGAATCCCCAGTTCTTGGTGGCGCCACGGCGAGCTCCATCGGATGGCCGCTTTGCTACTGCGGGAGCAAGTCGGATGGCATCTCGTTTTCACTGTAAGTCATTCTCGTTTGTGCTTGAGCTTGGAGTCGCGAGTGTGTGAGCGCTTGTGCTAGGGTATGCTGCTGATGGTGTTCCCGGTGTGCCTGGTTTTACAGCTCTGAAACTTATGAGGAAGCACGGCTCGCTAGAAAATCTAGTAAGTGCAGCGGCAATTCGGACGGTTGTGAAGCCATACATGCAAGATGCTCTCAAGGAGCATTCCGTGTTGCTTGAGAAAAACTTGGAAGTTTTGTCCTTACGCAGGTAACTGGCTATTCTTTTCTAGCATCCAGGTGATTTTCTTATTTCCTTTTTCTTGCAGAGATATTAACGTAGAGCTACCAGTTGAGTGGTGCTTGTCCAGGGATAAGTCAAACGATCTTGCTGCATTGCAGTGGCTGGAGAAAGAAATTGAAATGCTGCATTGTGTCTAAACAGAGGTATCTGGCTATTCGTTTCTAGCATCCAGGTGATTTTTATATATTTTCTTGCAGAGATATTGACGTAGAGCTGGTGCTTGTCGAGGGATAAGTCAAGCGATCTTGCTGCATTGAAGGAACTTGAAACGTTGCAGGTTGTTTAGCAGCGGTGAGCTGATCAGGCTCAAGGTATGAAAATTTTGAGCTCGCTTTATCGTTTCTTACTACGGCCTTCGTAGAATCCATAGTCTGTCCTTGATGGAAGCGAAGGTTGGTCCACTTCTGCAGAAACCTCAGGGTCTTTCAAATGAAGTGTACAGACGAATGCAACGTCAGGGATTGAAACCAGCCATTGGCATTGTTGTTGGTGCTCTCAAGGTATGTAGAAGCATGAGAGATCTACAACTAGGCAGGAGAATGAACAGGGATGTTTCCGAGACAGGTGACTTCTCAAACATTATCGTCGCCAACATCCTGCTTGATCTGTACGCGAAATGCGGAAGCATGATAGATGCTCGTGGAACATTTGACAGCATGCCGCATCGCGATGTTGTCTCCTGGAATTCGATCGTACAGGGATATGATATGCACAGAGTGGAAATGGTGAAATGGCTCTACAGTTGTTTGCTCCTCTGGGAGACGAAGGGTACAAACCGGATCGAGTATCAGTTCCTGGTGCTCTCAAGGCTTGTTCCAGCTTGATAGAGAAGGATTCCGGGCAGGCTTTGGATGGTCAACGGGTGGTATTCTTAGAGAGGAGCAGGGAGATTCACAGGAAAGCAGTAAAACTTGGCTTAGACTCGGATCTCTTCGTCGCGAGCACCTTGATTGATCTTTACGCAAAATGTGGGAGCTTGACAGAGGCTCGTCGAGTTTTCGAAGGAATGAGCCATCGTAGTGTGGTGACATGGAACTGCATGATTCTCGGGTATGCCAGCAGCGGCGAGGGTGGTGAAGCTCTCGATATCTATGCTCGAATGCGTCGTGGAGACACTCCACCGGATGCTTTAACTTTCATCGCAGCGCTGAAAGCTTGTTGCCGTCTTGCGGACGAGGAACTTGCCCATGCCCCGGCACGCATTCGTGGCATGTTTGTTCCCCCATCGATGGATCGATCAGTGTTCATGGTGAAGAAGAAACGGAAGTCT